CCCGGGGCTTAGACTTCATGTCTATTCTCAGCGATCAGGAGAGGGAAGCGGCCGACAAGAAGGCGGAGTCGGATCGGGAACTCCAGCGGTCTTTCTCGAAGACGAGTCACGACGCGAAACAAACCGATGCGTTGAGTGAGTCTATGAAAGTCAGGGCTCGCAGTATATCGCGGAGCACTTCCGTCGTTCAGGTGGAGAGCTTTGAGATGTCGACTACTGTGGCCGCCGACGACGTGGACGAGGGCTACAGCGCTGAGCCCAGGATTAAGGACGAACAGCGAGAGGTCGGTTCCATTGATGGCACCGTCTATTGGATGTACTTTAAGGCCGGCGCCGGACCCGTACTCCTCACTATTACTCTCCTCTCAACCCTCGTATCTCAGGGAATATTTCACGCCTCGGATCTATATCTTACAGAATGGTAATTATTAAAGCATTTATAATTTATAATTCTTGTTTAATAATTTAATAATCTAGTAACTAGATTATATCAGCATATTTAAATAGTGTATCTAGCTACAATTACCTATTTAATAAATAATGTTGAATATTTTAGTATTTTGAAACTAGTTTACTAAAATAATTTTAAATTATAATTGAGCTACTTATAATTATACTTAAATGAATTTAACTATACACTTATTGTAATAATAAAATATTTATTGTGTGATACTATTTAAAGGACTAATAAAAATCAGAACAAAACGCAAGACTCGATCGATAAGACTGAACAGAATAACGATGTAATCATATATTCATCACTAATCGCAGCCCTATTCGTGACGGCACTGATGCGCTCAGTCACCTGGTTTATGATGTGTATGCGGGCGTCCGTTAATCTACACAACAGTATATTCTATCGTATATTACGGACTCCCATAGCATTCTTTGACAACAATCCTGTTGGTAATTAATGTCAATTTTAAATACTTATTTATAATTGATTAATTATTAATTAATAATCAATAATATAAATCTTTAATTAATTAATTAAAATTATAATATTATAATTATGATAATTTTTATAATATCCATTTTAAGGTCGAATATTAAATCGATTTACGAAAGACATGGGAATTGTGGACGAAATGTTGCCGTCGACTGGCTTTGATTTAAATCTCGTAAATAACTTAATATTAATTCATGAAATTTAAAAAATACAGTATTTATTTGACCAATTGATGCGTCCATATGTAGACAATGACCCAGGCACTCGGTATCATAATCGTGGTGGCAATGGTCAATCCCTATCTAATCATACCGGCTGTCGTGTTAATCATACTGTCTATTATAGTGCGGGGTATATATATTAAATGCGCCCGAGATATCAAACGCTTCGAGGGATTAAGTATGCAAATTAAAATACACTAATTTATTAACACAAGTATTTAATTAAATTTAATTCATTAATTAGCACGAAGTCCGGTGTTTACACACGTGAGCACAACACTGAACGGGTTGGCCAGTGTGCGGGCCTACGGGGCGCAGGAGGCGTTTGAGCGCCAGTACTACGTGTACCAAAACGATCATTCAGCAACGTGGTTTTTATTCATATGCGCCTCCCGTACGCTCGGCCTGATTATGGACTGGATATGTGTCGGTTATATTGTAGTCATATCTGTTGTGTTGATGATCTTCTACGAGGGAATTGGCGGCGGAAGCGCTGGACTGGCCTTCTCTTCGGGTATGGTTTGAGAGTTTGTTTTGTTGTTTAATAGAGTTTTAATGTATTGTATAATTAATAATGTGTCAATATATTCAGCCCTAATGTTGACTGGAATGACTCAGTGGGGAGTTAGGCAGTCGGCAGAGATGGAGAGTCAGATGACTTCAGTCGAGCGCATCATTGAGTACTCAAAATTGACACAAGAGGCGGCCCTCACCTCAGATGATAGCCATAAACCTCCTCCCGATTGGCCACAGAAGGGACAGATAGAGCTCAGGAATATGAGTCTATACTACGAGGGGTCAGACAAACCGGTGCTGAAAAACCTGAGCTGTAATATAAAAAGTGGAGAGAAGATAGGGATTGTCGGGCGGACGGGCGCCGGCAAGTCGTCTATTATATCAGCGCTGTTTCGTATGGTTGAGCCGAAGGGGGAGATAATAATGGACGGCCTGTCTGTGGGATCGATTGGTTTGCATGAATTGCGGTCTAAGATTTCAATCATACCTCAAGACCCGGTGGTCTTCACGGGACCCGTCAGACGAAATTTGGATCCTTTCGGTGAATACAGCGATCAATCGATTTGGAGTGCTTTAGAAGAGGTGCAGCTGAAGGGGGCGGTGGGGGACCTCCCGGGCCAGTTGGACGGCCAGTTAGCTGAAGGGGGTGGTAATCTGAGTGTAGGTCAAAGGCAGTTGGTATGTCTGGCGCGGGCTATACTGCGGCACAATAGGGTACTAGTGCTGGACGAGGCGACCGCTAATGTTGACCATCAAACCGATGCCTTAATTCAGACC